ATTGAAATCATGAACCGATCGATGTAAGACTACCATTCAAAACTTGAATGCGATAGTTGGCTGTTTCGTCTTAGCGTGGAACTCTTCAGCAGTGCCCATCCACGACTTCGCATACGGGAATCTAACCCTTAACCCCCTGTCTCGTACTCGAATGTTTAACCTCCAGATCTCTGAGCTAGGATCGAACGGTGATAATGTCTAACTCCAAATAATCCACGACGTCGGGCTACTATTTTCGGCGCGTAGCTGCCTCACATATGGGAAATATTGGTGAAAACAGTTTTTCAACTTTTTCTTCTGAGTAAATACTTTTAACATTAAAATATGTAAACCTAACTAACAATTTATATTTTCATTTGATGAAGATTTCCGACAAGAAAGAAGTAACAAATGATACTGTCTGTCTCCTTCTCTCTATTTTATGCTTCATGACATCTAAGCTTGTACATGCCCACAAACATTAGGCATATATATATATATATATATATATATATATATATATATATATATTAGGAGTAAATAACGTCACTCAAATATTAAACTTCAAAAAAGAGATAATTAAAGACATAGGAAAGGTAGAAGAGAAAATGGGTTAAGAAGAGGGGAAGAAGAACGTGGGGGAGAAGAACAGAATAACTGGAGACTAGCGATGCTAGTGATGAAGATGACGAAACTGTGATTTTGTTTAAACACTGAGTTTGCTTTTCTTCCCCTTCTCTTTCCTCTATTCATTTAATTTAGACATTTCTCATATTTCAGATAATTGTCAATAACGTGTCTAATTAAATACACAATAGTAATAATGACAGATAAATGTAGTCGGTACTATTCACTAATGTTGATAGATTATATTATCAGATGGGAGATAAAATGTTTCTTTTCATCCTATTAAAAGTTTCTTACATAATAGTATGTCAATACACACCCACACTATACTCAATCACTTTATTGTAACCCTCTACTCATTTCATCCTGTATATATAGAATAAATAAATGATAACGGATTGTGTACATTATTTGGTCATTTAGCTAAAATAAATAAGTTTTGATGAACATAGATATTGATAAATTTGAAGCTTTTCAAGTGGTGGAGACCACCTACAGCTTGCGTGGATGCTTTCAATGTTGTTGAATTTTCTGAGTGAGATGGTTTAATTCCATAGCTTTCATTGTCATTTTGAACAACATTATTAACACTTAATTCATGTAGAAACGAATACATTACTTATTACACAAGCGTTGTAGCATCTAGTTCAGGTGACCTTGTTTATAATCAGTTGTGTTCGTAGATTTGGTTCTACTTCATTCGTCTTTGTTCTCAACTCAACCGTTTCGTTCGATTGACGTCTGACCATATAGCTGATTGACTTTTTTCTGTATATGTTGATAGGTCACCTCTATCTCCAACTGCCTAAATATTGCGAATTGACCCGAATGCTATGCATCCAGGAGTTCTCCGACGTTCTCGGAATTCCCACGATCTATTAGGTTTGGATCTACCTCAGAGAACTCAACAACATCAAAAACTTGAAGTTTCTCATTTACAAATGATTTATTATCATTTTTTGAGCAAATATTGAATAAAGATAAGAAGCTGATTAAAATGACGACTGTTTGCAATCGTTAAATATGTTTACTGAAGTGCCTGTAAATATTAAGCTGTGGTTTCTATATTGTACACTAAGTTCATGTATTTGATTTAGTGATCGGGGAATTTTGTTTTGGGAAGTGTTTGCTCATACTGTTTTTAATGACTAAATAGAGAAAGACTGTATTTTAGTTCATGATAAGGTTTCATTTAAGCGAAATAAGATGACTAAGTACATTATAATATGATAACATAGATATTAAACGTGCTAAAGAATTAAATATCTTTACGCACTATTTTGAAATGAAGTGAGGAGACGGCATATTGTAAACGTTTTGAGTCACTCATTGAAACATTTAGACAGACTGTAGTCTTATTTGTTCGATTCTATGAGATTATATAATATTTGTGTTTTCTTACTTAAGTTGAGAAATTATTAGGTTAAAAGAAGCCATGTAGTTGTATCAACTCTTTATTTTGTCAGAAGGGGTTTTGTAGAGATTTTAGTAATTTTATAGTTGAATTCATAAGTCAATTGAAGCTAAACCACCCTAGACCTGGAAGCACTGGGTGGCCGTTTCATCCTATTATGGGACTCCTCAGAGCTCGCGTGCGAGACTGATAGGTCTTGGGTTTGAATCTCGTGAGGCGGGATCGTGGGTGCGCATTGTTGAGGAGTCCCATAATAGGACGAAACGGCCGTCCAGTGTTTCCAGGTTTTCCATGGTGGTCTGGCTTCAATTGACTCATGATCTCAACTATATAAAATTACTAAAATCTCCACAAAACTCTTTCTTTATTTTGTGTTCATTTTCTAACCCATTATTTTCTATATAATTATTTCCAATGAATTCATCTCACATTACTTAGTTATTTTAATAGATTTACCAATTATTAAAATGCTTCATAATCGATTTTACTAATAAAGTAAAGAGGATTGAACTTATCAATCAGTTTTAAGCTGATTTCTTTCGTATATGATATAATCTTAATAGATTAAAATAAAATATCACAGAGGAGGATGGATTACTACCTTGTTATTTTTAATCTAAGAGAAGAGAAACCAACTTATTTTTTCAAAGCAATTACTTCGATCATAATATTCAACACCCATCTCTTTCTGTTTACTGCTACAATTGTAGTGATAAGAATAAAAACCATTACTATTGATATAGCTGAGTTATTACTGATTCCTTCAGTAATGATGTTTGATATCGAGTTGAATTATTTACTGTTTAATCAAAAAGAACAATAGGAAATTCTGTTGAAATTAATGGGGAGATTTCCTATTTCTTACGTTTGGTAAAATAATAAGACAATACTAAAACAATTTATTCCTCTAGACTTGTAAATAAGAAACAAAATAAAGTATCACTAACTTGATGTTATTGATTACTGTTCATCTACTGAAATACCGTTTTGTTAGTAGTCAGTTGGTCCTAAATGAAATAAAAGACAATACTATTGAGTTTCTTACTAAATAGCAAAAAAATTTGTGAAACTGAGGGTATAAGTTAATTATCAGCAGTTGTTAGATAATTGTTTGGCTATTAAAATTGTATGTTGATTGGTTGAGTAAGTCATTAATACAAGAATAAGAATTTTTATGTTTGGCTACTGATAATGAATTGACTTATTTACTTTGGTTTTCCGAAAATTGTAAATATTTTAAGTTAGTTTCATGTCCGACTAACTTCCGCTAAAGGATGACTGAAAACCAAAGAACATTGAACAGTTGTTTAGTGCTAAGTAATGACTTTTCGGATGTCAGAGCTAATGACCTCACAACAGCTATAATAGAACACCATCAGAGTTTGTTGAAAATATATCAATATCCAGTCACTTGGTTAGAACTTAACCATTTGCATAATACATCTTAGTCAAACTGTGATAAAGAGCTAACTGGAACCTTGATTTTAATAATTTTCTTAACTGATATCACTTCATAAAAATATTGTTCGCTAGTTATACGCACTAATTAACAAGCTACTTCAGTAAATTATTATTTCTAATGTTTCCAATAATTTCAACTTTTCTGGATCTAACTAGTGTTTTAACGTCAGCCTACTTTCGAAAATTTCAACAAATGACTAATCTGTGAGTTCAACTGATTCAAATGTTACTGAAATTAGCGCTCGTGGATAACATCAAGAAAGTTTATTTTACACCCTAAATTATTCATAGTAAAAAAAGAGATAATGAGACGTATATATTAGTTCCGAATGAAAAGAGATATCCGCTTCAATAGATCCTAATAACTGATATGCATTCACGATCCCGCACTTGCGAGATTCGAACCCAGGACCTACCAGCCTCGCGCAATAGCACTTAACCGATAGACCACTTAGCCGGCATCCGACGGTGTTAATGTCTAACTTCAACCAATCCATGAAGTTTGAAAAACTGTTCACCAATTGCCTTCAGTGAGTTGTTACCAAACAACAGACGTGGTTTAACTCCACTGGTCACTGCTCTGGTGCGAGGCTGGTAGGTCCTGGGTTCGAATCTCGCGAGTGCAGGATCGTGGATGCGTAGTGCTGAGGAGTCCCACAATAGGACGAAACGGCCTTCCAAAGCTTTCAGGTTTTCCTTGGTGGTCTAGCTTCAATTGACTCACGCTTTCGACTATGAGAGAACCCTTTCTGATGATATGCATTCAGTTGATCCAAATTTATAGTTAATAATTTCTTTCAGATACGTTATTGCAATTTTGAGTTTCAGTATATAAACTAGAATTTTATTTATTTATTTTTAACCTGATCCCCTTGAGGATTTAAATTCAGGTTTTATTATACATAGGAAAAAAAACTAAAACCACATGTCATGACAATTTATCATCATTTATGTTAATAGTCTACCCCTTGATTTTTGTGAACCTTTGTTTAATCCATTTTCACTCTAACCTGCTACTCTTTATCCAATCTAACCTTAATATAATCTATTTATTTATATTTACTGCGAAGAAGTAAGCATGTTGAAATATCGCATTCTATTAGAATTTTACTCGACCACCTATCGGATTACTTTATTATTATTTAAAAAAAGATAGATCACTCAATAATAACAATGAGAGGTATGTATATTCAAACTCTTTGACAATGATCGTTGAATTATCCAATCCAAGTAGTTTTCCAATTTTTTTTCCCATCACCTTTCATTCTTTATAAAGTAAATTATTCAACTCTTATGATCCTATAATATATCAGTATTCTATCCCTATTCTTTTAATTAGACTTTCTGTTGGTATTCACTCTTTTTGTTTGGGTTTAACTTGACTTTCATTTTAAAATCTTATGAAACACTGAATGCTTTATTATATCGTAATCAGTTACAATACAATAATGAATTCTATGATAAGACATGGTTTCCATCTAAACTAGAGAGAAAAAAAGGAGACAGATCACTCAAAAGTATGGATATTACAATGATTGATAATAAAAAACCTAGTATTTCTATGTCTACTATTCAAACTAATCAATCAATGATCACAGATTCATCTAAACATTTAACTCAAATACCGAAAACAAAAGTGAAGTTAAAATCTAATGAACATTTAACATCACCAGTTAATGGTGTTTATATTATACCACGTGAATTGTCACAAATGAATATGACTGATAAATTAACTGAATCAAATCAATTCTATACAAATAAAAGTAACAGTAATAATAATAATAATATTAGTAATAATAATACAAATAAGAATATTTTTACAGTAGATCGCACAGCAAGAGCAGTTAAAATGTTAGCTGAAATACCAAATCATATTGGAGAATACATATGTCAATTATGTTTCCAATGGTTTCCAGATGCATTTTGTTTAGCTGAACATCCATGCTCATGCATGGCAAGTTTAGCATATGCATGTGAAATTTGTGGTAAAGTAAGTAATCATTAAATACTTTTGTTATTCATCAAATAATAGTAAGAACCATTCTATTAGGCCAGATTGTAAACACCTCTTAATTGTATTCAAATACACTTCTCTTCTTCATAGGCTATGTGCCAAATGATATGAAACAAACTACTCAGTTAAAGTGGATGCATGTTTTAATAACCACGCTAATTATATTGATATTTGAGTTTGTAGTTAAGCTAAAGGTTATTAATAGAGATACTTGGTTTTCGGCCAATAGTTGTTAATTTCAAACCGTTTTTCAATTATAAAAGTTATGACTGTATTTGATAAATAACCTGCAACATAAACTAATGTCTATTTTTTCAGTTGCAATTATTATGCTTAAACAGACACTTTCTATTCATTACAAATCATTATCAGTGCATAAATCTATAGAAGACTATTTGTCTAAGGATAATACTTGTCACTAACTGATATCTAATGAAAAAACAAACGTCTTGATAATAAACGCAATCAAATAATAAATATATACTCATATTGAAATTGATATTCAGAAGCTTTTATGATGTTCTGTGACTTATAGGGTTGACTAATTAATGTGAGACAATAACTTGTCAGTGACGTTACTTAACGATCGTTTGATATCGTATATTGATTGAATTCTCACATATGTACTACTAGATGTTAAGTGATTTGAAGGTACCACGTACACTCTATGATCACGATTGACTAGATCTGATCTAGTCTATAACTTTAAGTTAACAATAATAAAGCATATAAGGTGGGTTTTGGATTATTCTTTAAATGATGTTAGTCCCTGATCAAAATTAATTTTAAATATGCCTATGAAGCCATGTAATTAGATTGTGTTCATTGTCACAATGAATAATTAATATAATTGATTAAAAAAATTTGAGTTCCAATCGGTGAATGTATATAATGAGGAAGTAATTCTGTATTATGACAGTATTTTTAGCTACTCAATTAATAAAGCCATAGTTAATTTACTTACGTAATTTCTGTCTACAGTAAATGTCATTGTTGATATTTTACCGTTGAAAATGAAGACGTAAAAATTCAGCGATCATTTTATTTATGTATGTATTTTCTTCCATTTCTACAAACTTATTTATACAATGTAATTCCCTTTCCATACATTTATATACATTATCTTGTACACATATCTTATATAGGTATTCAATTGTCCAGCAAATTTAGCATCACATCAACGTTGGCATAAACCACGAATAGATAATAATCATAAAAATATTCGTCAGATGAGAATAATCACTAATAAACGGATAAATAATGATAAGCTACAAAATTCAATTAAAATTTCCAATCATTCAACTAATGATCATGTAACTTATTTATTAAAACAAAATTCTTCATCATCTGAATTAGATCGGCAGCAATTATCAATTTATTCAGAACATATCAATAATGTATTTAGAACAAGTAAACATTATAGAATATCATGTGATGAAAAGATGAACTATGCACAAGAATACAATATTTCAAATGTACAATTCAACGATTCTATGAATAATCATTTAACAATGAATGATACAAATGTAATGACTACTAAATCTACTAACACTAATAATGGTGTTATTCATTATTCAAATTCATTATCAAATAAAAATACTTCCAGTAAACAAATCAATCCCTTTTCAGTTGAAGCACTTCTAGCTTAATTTCTTATTTCTATAATACATCTTTAGTTTTCCAGGGTAACTTCTCTTTTTCTTCTTTTTCTGTATTGCACTTTTTATCCCCTAACCAACTTATTATTGTTTCTATATTGTTTCTGATTATGATACATATTTATTTCAGCATTTTATCTCATCATTTCACACAAACTTTTTTTTCACATTTATTATGGGTAATCAAGGTTTTGACAACTAAATTTTCATTTTCTCAGTGAAAACTAATATTTTTTTTCTATGCCTCTGTTTGTTTAGACTCTGTTATCACAATAAGTGAATGAATAAAAGCTACATTGTTTATTATCGTTATAGAAAGAAGGTAAATAACTTCGACTGTACAATTTTGAGATTGAGGTCATGAATAAAGGAGAACACTATGCTGAGCTATTTTCTATTACTTTATATATCAATGCGTGCTTTCCATATGTATTCTTTCTTAATGCATTTAACTGACATAACTCTATCCCATAAGTGTAAATTTTATAAAATAATAAAAATAATAACCCAATTGAATTTCAAGCTGTACATAGAATTATGTAAATTATTTACAGATCATATAAATAATAATCTAAGTATTTTTTATATTTTTTAAAAGAAGCATTACAACTTCCTTTTATCATGTTCATTGTTATCTTATGAGAATGTTTGTAGACATTCCTTGTTGAATTATGAGTACGTAATTTCAATGAATATTGTTATTTGGGCATAGAATTTAGGTCTTAACGACTTAGTTTGAAAATGGTGAATAGGCTTCATCCGTAAACTGTCAGTAGTTCGATCATCATATTAATTTCAATAATTTTATTAGTCATTTAATTTGTCTTGACAGGAACTTGAATATCCTGTTATAAATTTTAGTTAACAAGTAATCTTGCGAAATAATCAACAGTCGGCATAAAAAACCCAGGAAAGTTTGAGAAGGTGATTTACAGTGACAAAATTATTTTGAAGGGTGGGTGGGGGGTTACTATAAACTGAGAATAATTTATGCTCATGCTAACGAGACCATTTGTTTAGATTAATGTAAAATATAATCCAATTATGATTATTTACGAGAGCTCAGATTATTGACGATAAGTTTATAGTTAAGCCGTAATAAGACACAAGGTATAATTGAACAATAGAACACTTGCTATTAATATAACTTATGCGTAAAATATTTAACAGGAAACAAACGTGAATAAAAGTTATAAAACAGTGATATCTTTCTAGTTTAAATATATATTTTTTTTAGAAATTGCTCATTAACTAATGACAATGAAACTTGACTAGTAAGTTTAATTATTATCGGCCATCTCAATGAGAATATAAAACTACTTTAACTTGACTTCTAGATAAGATAACATGCTGATAATGTGTCAGCTCTATGCGTATGACAGTTTCTTTGAGGTAATTTTGTAGAAAATTGATAAAGGTAACAATATGCTCTCAGGTCTTATGATGATAATAATAGTAATACACTACAAAATAAATACAAAAATAATACATTTATCACACATGGTAATACTTCTGAACCTCACAATAAATCTGTACTTGGTTAGAAGGTAATAATACATCTTCAGTTGATCATAATCGTTTGTTTAAAATCGATTGGTTTAAAAATATGAGTAAAATACCACTCTTTTTAAAAAAGGTAATGTTAAAATGGATGTATTTAATAATCAAGCACTTGACAACATAATTCTTATTTCTTTTTATGGTATATACTAATACGCTTTACTATTTAGCAGTATTTTGGTCGAATATTCTAATGAACCACTGAAGACTCCTTTGATGATAAAAAGTAACGACTTCACAATATGAACCGTACATTATCTAATTTTACTTTGGAATATTAAGGCATTACTTTAACGGATACTAGATTTCAGTTAAAACTATTTGTAATTTTAAGAATTCTTGATAAGTATAGTTTAAAATAGAATTATGCTTCATATGTCGTTTAGCTTAGAATGTCTTATTCTTCTCTAAATACATGAAAATTATTCTTACTATTCGATTGTTAAGACCATTTTATTGTTTTATTCAATTGTGTCCAAAAAAATTCACCAACATACCTTAAATGTAATGACTTATAACAAAAAAAGATAAATCTATTTTTTAGATAGACCAGAAACAGATTGATTTAAAAGTATTGTAGTGAATAAGAACGCTATGTTGATCCTATCCATCTCCAAAATCTCTTCCTAACTTCATCTTCAGCTAGTTTGTTCTCTGCCAGTGGATTGGTGCTAATGGTCTCTGGTTGGTATATCTGGAAAATCTTGAGCAGACAGCTATTTATTGATACATGTACATTTTTATGACTGGTTGTAGTAGTGTAGTGAACGTGAACACAAATGGGGACAATCGAATGCATTTGAATACAAAGTTACAGAACATCTTAGTAAAATCTGAGAACCATGTAGTAAATACTTCATTTGCAAAATATCAGTCAACCGTCTCAGACTTCATTGTTCCTTCCTTTCCACGCCAATCATTCTCTGTTCTCGTTTTCTTTGCATAGACCTTCTTAACCTTCTGCCACCACGTATTTCACTTTCGATTGATGATGTACATATATCTGTCGACATCAGTAGCACACACCGCAGTATCTTTTAAAGTTACATGCTTAAATGAATAAAATAATTTCTGAGTAATACATTACTATTGAAGGATCGGTTGATTTAATAAAATACTTAAGTGGTTAAACTTATGATTTCCACGTACTAATCGATAAATAAATCTTAACCAAGTGGAAATTACATGATATGAAAACTGGTCAACTATTCGAATATGCTGAAGAGTCAAAACTACCGTTAATTTAATAAGTGTTTAACCAGAGTAGTATGACTGAGTTGATTTTCGGATAATATATAAGTAAACATTGGTAAAATTCAAGATCATTAATCAAGCAGTGATTTTCCATTTTTGTCAATGACAACATATTTAACATTGAACAAATATGGTTCATTAGTATTTGTCAGTCTTTGTTGTCATTTTAAGTGAATTGGTTCGATACAACCTTTAGTTATAAAATTCTAGCGTGTTTGGCATGTAGCAGGCAAGCTGTCAAATTAATTGCCAAATTGAAAGAAATGAAAATCCAGAATTGCTATGCCAGCCAAATACCAAATTCACAAAACTGTGACTTCATAAACAGATGTATTCAGTTGCCTGAACTCATATTCCATAGAGTCATCGATGATCAGGTTAATTAATAAACTGAGCTTTCCAGTTTTATGATCCATTCTTATTGTTAAACTTTTTCTGATGCATTGTAGTAACCGCTAATCTTCATCAATCCATTGAATAGTTACAAATCAAGTATAAGATCATTCAAATCAGTTTTGAAAATTAATTTCTAAAAATTTGAAATAGGACTAATGATCTTTTGAAATGAATTTTTGAATTATAGACTTGACTTTGAAATAGATGAATGAGGATTTTTCTCCATAAGCAGTTCAGTAGAAATTTATCAAGATTGAACTGCGAAATATTAGGAGAACTGTTTAACATTATCTGAAAATGCATCACATTGATTTCATGATAACTGAATTTATAGATTTAAATGATAGCCTAGCGTTCACAGTTACACTGACTTTGTAGAATAATTATTATTCTTACTGACTATGAATTCACAGTATTTAATATAAGCCAGTTATGTTTCGAATTCTTACAATCTAGATTTGCTTACAATCATAGTGCTTTCCTTATTGACTTACGGATTCAAATCCTATTGTTTAGTATGGGTAGACTACAGTTTAACGAAGGAAATCTGTTATTCACTGAATTATTAAAATTGTAGATTTACTGAACAAATTAAGTTGGTTAATAACAACTTGACAGTTATTTTTAAAAAAAATAAACACTAAGATCACCATCTTTAATGTTAGTACAATTTACTGAAAAGTAATGTTAAATAACACTAAATTTTACAAGGTTGCTTATAAACATCTTAATCAGAAAGGGTTTTTGTGGAGATTTAGTATTTTCATAGTTGAAAGCATCAGTCAATTGGAGCTAGACCACCAAGGAAAACCTGAAAGCACTGGACGTACTATTGTGGGACTCCTCAATAGTGCGCATCTACGACTTTGCCTCGTGAGATTCGAACCCAGGACCTACCGGTCTCGCGACCACAATAGGATAAAACGGCCGTCCAGTGCTTCCAGGTTTTCCTTGGTGGTCTAGCTTCAATCGACTAATGCTTTCAACTATAAACCTTTTACTTTATTTCTTGTTCAGTATATTATCTTAAACATTTACAAGTAAACAAACATATGTAAATACATGGATAACATTCACAATCAGATCTATTTACTAAATAATTTGTTTGTTAATTTATAACCCTTAATTCAATTTCATTATTATTTGTTATTTCTAAAAGCAAATGATGATTGTTTGTAGATTACTGTTGTGTGAAATGTTAGAAATTCTGATCATGATGAGGATGATGAGGATGGTGGTGGTTGACTGTGAGAAAATCATATGTGAAGTATCATTTAAAAACGGTTCAATTTTTTCTCATTCAATATGTAGATTTCTCTCTTTTTCACCAAAAAAAAGAACCATATTCAAGCACATGCTTTAGAATTACACTTTCTCTTTTATTTCAACATCATATTTACATAAGTATATATATATATAATATTGTTTAAATGAATTATTTTATAAGGTCATATGATGATATCTATGTAAATAAAAGATAGATATATTTATATTCCTACTGTTTTTAAATTATGACTATAATTTTCATGGTATATATCTATGGCTAAATTAAGATGTGATTCTTTTTTTTGGTAACGTGATTTTGTAAGTATTTATTTATATTGAAATAGTTGAGTAAATGTTTGTTTTCAAGAAATGGGTGGGGGTGGGGGTAGGGGTTGAATTTATTGATTTCATATTCTTTTGGTTTAGTTAGTAAGTATATCACAATGTATTTATGAAGATGTTAGATAAGATATTCACTATAAATTCTGTTTAATGGATTGAGCTTTTTCAAGTATTGGTGTATCTTTAAATAGATCAGAAGGGGTTCTGCGGGGATTTCAGTATTTGCATAGTTGAAATCATGAGTCAATTGGAGCTAGACCACCATGAAAAACCTGGAAGTACTGGACGGCGGTTTCGTCCTATTATGGGACTCCTCAGTAGTGCGCACCCACGATCCCGCATATGGATGTGTCGCTCAATTTCGTGGATTGGTTGAAGTTAGATATTATCACAGTTCGATGCCAGTTCAGTGGTCTAGAGTTCAAGTGTTCTCGCACGAGACTGGTAGGGACTGGGTTCGAATCTCGCTAGTACGGGATCGTGGATGCGCACTGGTGAGGAGTCCCATACTGGGACGAAACGGCCGTCCAGTGCATCCAGGCTTTCCATGGCGGTCTAGCTTCAATTGACTCATGATTTCAACTACGAAAGCTTTAAATAATATAAGATATCAGATTTATAACTTACATCTCTAAAGTTTGAAAACATATGACTAAAGGATTTCAACTATTAGTTCTTTATACACCCAATAAGATCATATGCATTATTGTTTTATTCTCAATGACTGTTGAGATTGTTTCAAAAGATTAAAGAAAAAACCAATTTTTACCGAAGTTCTTCAACAGCGAATGCATCAGAGAGTGAGAAGTAGCAGAACTCATGAAAAAACGAAAGTGTTTATTAAATGATAATGTCATGAAATTTTTGTTGATTGAGG